TGTAGGGAATCCACATTAGTGAACTGAATTAACTTTCTTACCTTGTGTCCCCAGTATCTTTTTTGAACGCAAACCCTAAAATAGCAATCTTCTTATCAGTAACAGTATTGAACAAGCTGTCAATAATACGGGAAGCAAATCTTCTTCTCTGATAATCATTCATGTCTATTACCTGAAATTATATAAAACATGATGGTATAGAAAGGAACCATTTTAAACTATAAACAGATTCTATTAACAATCAAGCCAAGCTACCCACACATAAGTTTAACAGAGGCTTAAAAGAAAACACTAAGTGTTTTTACTCAGAATTATAAGTAATCCAAGGACAAATTTAGTTATCAAATTTATCAAATTCTGAGACAAATCCTATTTTAATCAGTGACTGTAGATGCACACACACATGCTATCATGCATTCTCTAGTTCAAAGGCTAGTTTTTTTTCAAATTGCCTTTTTTTTTTTTAAAAACCTACAACTTACTGTATTCTAGGCAGAAACACAGAAAGCAACTTCAGTGTTAGAGTACTTGATGTCACATGGACATCCCATTGCCAGACCTACACTTACATGCCATGTATAACAACTAATCAACTGTGTGGATTAAAAGGCTGAAAATGTGCAGTACATGACTTGACCAGTGTGGGCTGGTGCAGATAGACCTCTGCAAGATGACACTGCTCTGAGGAAGCAGGAGGTGCAGGTATTGGGTTGTACTACATGAACACAGCACTCTACCCTATCCTAACTCTGCAGCAGCTGTTCTTACTGACTTGTCCACAGCTTAATAAGCCATACAGAAACACTGCAAAGAGTTGCTCTAATACCAGAATAAGAGCATAAAAGCATTAAAAGCACTTTAAACTAGCTTGTTTACATTAACAATGCAACCTCTTCGGCTTTTGTAAAATAAACACCACTGCACAGAGAAAAGCATAAGTGTTCCTATGCTTTTGGTTTGCCAAGGTACCAAGTAGGCTGCGTTTTGAGGACCCTTGTGATCTCAAAGGACAGAGCCAAACCAATCTGTCTCCTTCAAGACAGTTTTAATTTTTCCCTATTCATCAGATTTTCACTGAGGTAACATGGTTAGTTCCTGCAGCTCCTGCTGCTCCACAGATTGCCTGTTGTCTGCTTACATCTTATACTGCACCAAAGCAGTAGTTCTCAAGGCAAATATGAGAACCTAGGGCTCCTTCTCTTTCCTACTGTGCCAATGCATCCAAGTCCTACACTGAACCAAACTTCTCCTGGATGCTTGCACAAGGTTCATGCAGTGTGTTAGTCTCAGCTTCACTGATGGGAATGCAAGCCTCTCCAGCACAGACTAGAGGATCCTAGTGAAGCACACTTCTTAAAGGACGATGTCAGACTGAACCACTTCAGAGGCAGACAGCATAAAACCCTGTGTCTTCCTTGTCCTAGGCAACTGATGTAAGAGTTATAGTTGCAAGGAAGTAACTAGGCTGCTGACTAGCCTCTGTCTGGAGGTTAACCTATCTGAACAGGATGTAGATTTTCCTGTGTGACCTACTCTAGGTGATCCTGCTCTGACAGGGGCGTTGGACTAGATGATTTTTCGAAGTTCCTTCCACCTCCTAACATTCTGTGATAGAAAGCCACTGGGCATCACAGATAACGTAAGAAGCTGACAAGAACAATGACTGAGTTTTACAAGTGGTTATGGAGGAGTTAATAGTGAGATCCAGGCAAGATTCAGAAAATTGGAAGGGATTATTAGGGAAAATTACTTTTTGGTAGAATAGAACCCTGCAAAACCAACAGAGCCTAGATAATCCCATCAACAGAATCACATGGCCATGCCAACCTAGGTAATGGTATAAGAAATACTGGACTTCAGTATGGATGTGGCATAACCAACCAGTGAGGAAAAAGTAATTATGGACAGGTTGTTTATTTAGCAGCATACTGGGATGGAGAAGAGTGAAAGGGAAAACGGCTAGCCAAAAGGAAGACTGGAAAACAGGAAAGCTGCTAATAAAGTAGGCAGATCAGGCACTTGGTATTCTGGGGGCATCTGCTAAGCAGCCCTGTACTTGATCACCACAGCCTAAGTCAGCACAATAAACCAACGCTACTCTTTTCACCATACAATATATGTCAAAGCTGCTTTCCCAGTCAGGACTGGGAAGAGGGGTGAGGTACTTTCACTGGTTAGTAGGAAAACACTTGCTAGTACAGACTGAGCATCTTGGTATTGCTGCTGCACTGGTGCTACACCTGAGAGCATCCACATCTTTCCAATTACACCTAACATTAACCAGGGAAGAGCAGAAGCCATGTTTATTTTAAAGAATAGCAAATTCTGCTGAGTTCTTTCAGAAAGGAAATCGTAGAAGTAGACGCCAAGGAAAAGATCATAGGCTCTGAATTCAAAGTGAGATAGCCAATTACAAAAGGAAGACAGAAGTCCATGTATGCTTGTACTTCAGATTCCTACTGCTACTTCCCAATCCATTTGATCCAGACAACTTAATTCACCCCAAAAAAGCCCTAAGCACCCACAAATATCAAATGCCAGTGTTAGGCTAAGAGCCCTAAAACATGAAGATTAACATTAAGGTATCTGCTCCTTAAAGCTAAAACACAATTATACATATACAGTGCTCAACAGCTCAGTGCCCAACAACTGAAGCATGACTTTCCCCTCAAAAAGAATAGTGAGGAACTTGTACCTGTTGCCAGTAGCGGGCCACTTCAGGTAAGTTCAGTGCCTCACAGAGGTACACTAAATTCAAGACATCCTTTTGAAAACAGCTACCTCCAAACCCTGAAAGAGAAAAATGGTTATTTTACAGGTGACTAAGGTACTGTTCTAAACCAACCTTTGGAATCAAGTATTTTTTGGCAATCATTGACATAGCCAGCACTGTAGTTTTCCCCAGTATTTCACTGATAGCAAAAATTAAAGCATTAAGAATCTCTCCAAATCCAACTCCTAGACCGACCGACTTTATCAGTTACAGAAGTCCTAAAATTTGCTTCAGGTCCCACTGAAGTTAATGAAAGTTTTAACCCAGTCTCAGGGAAACATATGGTAAGATAATCCCTAGCTTTTTATTATTCAAGTGGGTGGACACGCTCCTGGGTTTGCTCTCCCCTCATCTACAGATTTAGATAAATACTTCTCTGAACAAGTACATTAAGATTAGGTTCTTTCCACCTCCACTCCCAGATAGTTAATCACTGCAAAGAACCAAAGATCACCACAGCTGACTAAGGGAGAACCAAGACAATTCAGAGCCCTAGAACTTTGCTCAGCAGAGTCTCAGAAGCAACAGATTGTAGAAGGAATTACAGTAACTCAGCAAATACACTATCAACATTTTTATTATCTGCTTTTCACTCTTACATAGACTCTAGGAGAGTTTATATTTAATAGGGTTATTTTAAGGTCACACTTTCTCTTCCTAGCATGAAGACTGTAGCCATATAGGTGGGCTTTTGTTTTGTTCCACAAGTTTGAAAGTTTCTTGTACTGATCACCACTTCCACATCTTGCTCTCCAGTAAATCTAAACTGAATTCATCCTACACATCAGAAGTTGCCATCACACATTCTGGCCCCTTTCTCAGGCCACTGGCAGTAACTCCTGAGCAAAACTGCAGCAGTTACAACTGGGACGACATCTTGGAGAGCACTGTAATCAGCAATGTTTCAGAAAAAATAAGAAGTTGCAACTTTTCTTTCCAGTGTCCCAGGCAGGATAAATCATGCACTCTGAACGCTTGGGTTTCAGATTGCCAGGGTCTAGAGCAACACAGTCCTACACATTTTACCATAAAATTTATTTATGCTAGTACTCTACAGCAATATTTTCACATGCTCATGCTGTAGACGATTTCAGAGTATAAGATCACTTACTTCAAACACTATTAGAAGACGCATTGCACTACAAAACAATCCCAGAAGAAACAAAAGAACATTTTTCATTTACCAACACTGGCTTTGAGAAACTTATTTCCAATTCTTTGGTCTGTTCCAATAGCTTTTGCTACTTCTTCAACATCTGCTCCTGTAGCTTCACACAGAGCACTGATTGAGTTAATGCTGCTGATTCTTTGGGCAAGGAAAGCATTAGCTGCCTGTGAATTAAAAAAAACATAATAAAGAGAGCTTGATTCTTCCAGAAACCAAGATGCCCACAGACCAAAGGGAGTTATGACTGAAGGATCATATTAGTATCCCTGTAGTGATAAACTAGTTATGTTGCTATTTTGTAATACATAAATGCCAGTTAATAGGATCTAAGCAAAATAATATAACACTTAAATTCCAGAGTTTGAAACATTTTATGGTGGTAACCAGTTTCTGCAGCACTGGAGATTTACTCTTAGTAATAAATAAAACCTTTTTATCATGTTTATTGCTGTGTTAATGGAAAACTGATATAATCTATTAGCTCAACTGAGATAATTGGAAAAAAATAATATCCTTTGACATGTATATACTGGCTCCTCCCAGCCTCATCTGTCTTTCCTAGCTTCATCACTCAGTGTCAGTGAAGTTCTGCTTCTGAGCTTTGTTTCACTTACACCCTTTGCTCATTGCAGACAACAGCAATGAGTAACACTAACCAGTTTAGAAAGTTCTGATGACCAGGTATTGGTTGTGAGGATTTTTTCTTTGGGCACCCAGTGCTCATAAACAGCACAAAGAGCACGAACAGCTTTCTGTCCCTCTGGAGAATCATCTCCACCAATAAGCACTCTGTCTGGGTTCTTCAGGTCCTTGATGGCTGTCCCTTCTGCGAGGAACTCTGGGTTAGATAGCACCTGCAGGCACAGAAATGAAGAACAGATAAAAGCCAAATGCAACAGCCAGCCTTTAAATACACAACTCAAAAATGATGCTTACCTGTAAATCCAAGTTAGGCTTAGTATTAGCATCAAATATTCGACGAATGCTCTCTGCAGCACGTACTGGAACTGTGCTTTTTTCAGTGACAATTTTATAGCCATTTGAGTTTTGTACTATACGCCTAGCACAAGCTTCAATGTATTTCAGATCAGCTGCTCGGCCTTTTCCCATGCCATAGGTCTTTGTCGGAGTGTTAACCTATGCAGGGGGGAAAAAAATGTTAAAGGTGTCTTAACAGCTACTGATGAGGTGAAACTGTTAAAAATGACAAACATGTTCCTTCCCAGACTCCAGCTTGCTTCTACCCCAGAATTATTCTAGTTACCAGGTCAGATTAACAGCTATTAGCTTTCTGAATTACCCATTTTGTCTTCTAAAGAAAGCTCATTGCCCTCTATTCAAACAGAATTTAAACAAGAGCAATTCATAGCAGCTCTGCAGGCTTTGGTAAAACTTAGTCCTTATTCTGGAAACACCAGTAATTTTTTCATTATTACAGCCAGCCACCTTTTGTTTCCTGTCCCACATCAAGAGTGCAAAAACACACATTATAAAAATCTTGCAGCTAGTAAGGCAGTTATCATTTAAACCCACTTTGTAGTAAAATATCAGTGTAGAGCTGCTGAAAATTACATATACTGAAGTATGCAGGAAGGCAACATGTGGGAAAAGACGTTAGGTTAAGACAGAAGCTCTTTTTCATTAAAAAGTGGAAGAAAAAAATGACAACATGTAAAACCCAACAGCAGCATGTTTTAAGCCAAGGACAGGTGGCAACATACAGTCTGTACTACTGGCAGTCATCCAGCCAAGCAGCATTCATTTTAGATTTAATGAATGGAGAAAAATACTATCAGAAAGAGAGGTCTGTACTGAGCTGCCCTAACAAAGAGGAGCTCTCAAGAAAAGAGGACACGAGTAACAAAACTAACAGTGGCCTACCAAGATGAACAGAAATTGGTTCTTTTAGATTCAAACAACCTTCTAGATTACAAAAGGTCACAGTGTTTGACTGGATCGTCTTTCTAGTACTGTCCACACCTCAGAAATATCAAAGCCAGAAAATATTAAAGCCAACCCCTCTTCCATTAATACACTGGCTTTTAAAAGCTGCTAGAAATTAGTCACCTTTGTAACCCAATAATCAGTATATGGTTTATGCATCCTTTTCTAGGAACCATATCAATATTATTCAAGTCACATGAATTTCAGCAGTACACTGCAATGACAGATCTGCCTTATATTCTGCTCTAAGACCCCATAAATCTAACCAAGCTAAACATCAACATTATCATTTTGACTTAGAGCCTGTTCATTTGTCACTCTACTGGCTATAAGAAGCAGATAAAAATAAAATTAAAAGCTTAACACTTTTTCCCCCCCACAGTGCACAGAAAGACAAGAATAAAACTATGACACAATGGCATGACATTGCTAACTGAATCCATGACAAAGAAAAGGCCTCTTCCTAACATACGAGCAACATAATGGTAAGAAAGGCAAAAAAAGACAAACCACTGCTCCCTCCTAAACTTACAGAAATAAAAACAAGATCAGCTTCTCTAATGGCATCATCAATACTGGTGGAAAAGAAGAGGTTTTTTCCTCGACATGATTCTACGACTTCTTTTAACTCCGGCTGAAAAAAAAAAAAAAAAGCAGTTAAGGTTAATGCAGTTAGAAGAACAGTAAACTCCATGCCCAAACAAACAGCCTATTATTTCAGATACAGAAAGACTTTTTTTTTTGGTCAGTGTGCCATGTTTTCTGTCTGCCAGATGTAAAGTTTCTGTAGATTTACACAGGGGAAAAAAAAAAGCCCTTTCTTATTCAAAACACTCCAAATGCTTTCTCAAAACTTTCAGCCATACTGAATTATTGTTTGCACAACAGATTTTAGGCTCCAGTTATTCCCATACTCAGTTCTATTACCATGAGTGACAAATAAATAAAAACCTGTAGAGTGGTATTAAGTAGATTTAAGAAGTAAAGTCATAAAATATTCCCTAGGCTGCAAACAAAAGAGGTGGTCCCAACTCTTTTTCCCTCAGCTACACATCCCATGACCTCCTCAACAGCTGCTCAAAAACCAATTCGACTCCAAAACAACCCACAAAGAAGTCTTCCACCAAATTAGCAAGCCCACATCCACTGCTTTTGGCAACCATTCACGTTTGGACCAGATAAAACTTATGGCACCACACCTGTAGTATGGAAAAATCACAGGCACAATTTAAGGAGATTCTTTCCAGAGCCATATACTGTGCCAGAACACCTCCCCTTCTGCTAACATCTCCACACAGACTAGAGGAGCAGGAGGCCACGTGTGCATGAGAAATCATCCAAATCAGAATGCTCAACAAAATGATTTAAGTAAGCATAGTTGTCACAGATAAAATGAGCCTTTACTTTTCGTTTGAAAAAAATAAAGTAATAAACTGTAACCTGGCAATTGCATCTCCAACTTGAGAGACGCCTACCATGACATGAGCTATTTGAGTAAGTGCCAGAAAGGCAAAGGTTCACTGGAAAGAAAAAGAAGAAAACAAAAGCAGAAGCCCTCTCATGCAAGACATTTTTACTGTCTCACTTTATACTAAACACCTAATTAAAAAGAAAAATGTCAGCACAGGCAGAATAACGTGTCACAAGCCATCAAGTGTTTCAACTGTGGTCTTACTGGGATATAAATAGAAAGGCAGTCCATTAGACGATTTTTGATGCTGGAAAGAAAAAAATACAAAAACTTTACTGTGCAATGACTCAATTTCACAACTGTCTGAACTAATTCTTGGCAGATTCTGTGCATTCTTTGTAAGCAAAAGACACCATTCCAGGAAACAGATGTTTTGAGTTTGGGTCAAAAAAAGCCCCCACATGCCAAGACTAGCTCTACTTTAACTCATTCAGTCTAAGTGTTTATAGAATAAGTACTTAGTTCCATCATCTTTATTCATGTCTCATCTGCTAATCTGAGCATTACACGCATTTTCCTTTGAATATGCATGACAAAGGAACTCTATTCATCTTTACTTGAACAGTCACAGTATAGGTTTGGTTTGAAGAGGAAAAAAACCCCAAAATAACCTATAACCTACATTAGTGTTACAGCACAGACAAGGTTCAGAAGACTTCTATATAGGAAAAGAGTAACTACTAGTACCAGGCAACATGCCTTGTCTTTGGGAGCAGAGTGAAGACAAGTTTTCACTTCCATTAAAGAAAATAACTCAAACTTATAAAAGCTATATCTCATAAAACAATGAAGGAAACAAAAAAGAGATCTATTTTTATAATGTAAAAAAGAGTGGAAAAACAAGTGCTAAGAGAAGCAAAACAGAACAATGCTTTATGTATTTTCAGCATTACACATTCATATTGTGTTACAACACAGCAGGTAATATCTATAACTAAGAAGAGGACTATGTTATGATTAAAATGGGTCCCAAAAGGAAGTCACCATGCTTTTGTACAATGCATTAAATATACAATTATATTTTTCCTTACAAGGCCTTTCATATGTAATCCTTAGATACCTGCCTGCACCAGACATATTAAGTTATTTCAAAGAACTAGTTTAATGAGCAGCAGTGACAGGTAGCTGTTGCAGAATACTCTTTTTGAAGGTCATCACTGTGCTACACTTATCAAGCTTCAAAAGTGGGCCCTGTGGAAATGCCATGTGGTTGAGAGGGAAGCAAACGCAACATTGGCTGGAAGAAGAGACAACAGCAAGACACATTTACCTCATAGATTGGGAGTGTATCTGAATTCCAGGCATTGATTCTGGCCTCATTGACATCCACAACAGTAACCTTGATATTGGGACACATCTGTGCAATAACACTACAGGTTGGCCCACCAACATAACCAGCACCAATGCAGCAAATCTTCTTAATTTCAAACATGATTGCTCTGGGAGGAGGAAGGGAAAAATAATTGGAAAAAAACACTGGCCAATAATTCAAAAAAATAAAAAAGAATTAGTGATTTGAGGTTTTGTTACGCTACCACAGAGAAAAACATTTCTTTACAGCTGATCTCTGTAAGCCAACTGCAGCTGCTTTCTCCCACTCGGGAAGACTGGGGAGACTGCCCCACGCCAGCTCACACGGACCATTGAGGAAGCGTTTTCTGTGGTCGCTCTGAAGCCTGGCAGCACAACAATCACCCTCTCGGCTCGAGGAACTGCAGATGCCACGACAGTAAAGAGTG